GGTGTTACCGTCGTTGTTGCTAAACATAACGCATAAAAACAGGCGCTTGTCCGTCCGTAGTGTGGTTATATTCAATATAAGAGAAATAGAGAACTTAATTAATATAGCCACTACAGTGACCATCAAAACGATGAAAAGATATTGCCGTAAACAGTCACCTCAAGACTGCAATCTCATTCTTTCATTCACTACCCAGAGCTCATGGCTCATATCAGTAGAAATATAGATTACTGAAATAATAAATAGACCAATGGAAAATGTGACCAGATTTAACTCAGTACTACTTTTAACTGTTTGTTTTTGCAATTATAAATACAGATGAAAAGGCTATTAAGTTCCCTTTTTGAGATGTGAGCACTCTGTGCAAGAAAGCACCATAAATATAGCCAAACGTAAGAGTAATCTTTGTAAGAAGAGGTTTGGATGAAGTCTTGGATCCGTAATCACGAGACTACCATTCTATTTCATTTTCACAACGCTGCAGTTTCCAGCTGTCACGGTAAACCCAAACATGCAATAAAATTTTGCCAAAAACATGCTCCTCCAAAGCCTCCAACTCCAGTAAATTAACTGAAAAGAGCCAAGAAGTCAGTTGGGAAGTGGAAAGCCGAGATCTCAGAGGGAAAGCCACACTGGCTGACAGTGAGTGATCCAGCTGTGTACTCAGTTTTAACTATTACAACATGCCGAAAAACAGAAGTTCCAATGACCGGCTCTCGCCTTCACACTCCACCCTTTCATTTAATAGCATTTTGGCTACAAGGAGGAAATAAGGAAGCCAGACTGTGAAAGCTGACAAAGATGAACTGGCTCTGCATTCATCACTGTTCCCCGCTCCATCTCCTTCTTCTTCAGCGGCCCTCCAAATCCATCCATCATGTCTGTGGAAGCTGCCGTTTTATAGAAACACAGAGACTTAGAGCAAAATTTTTAAAAAAGAAAAAAGATTTTCTACTGAAGCAAAATACGATACAGGTTCTGACTGCATAGATCGTCATTAGATGAGTCCTGAGTGTAGACAGGAGATGTTCCTCTGCGGGAAGCTCAGAGGCCCTTAGCAGGATGTCATGCCAGAGCCAGGGGTCTCACAGGACCATGCAACCACTGGACATGCCTCAAAATCATGAATTATTCATGCTTTAACTCCCCTCTGAAATCAACTTTTCACAGGCTGGGCAGCTTCAACAAACCCACTTATCTTCAAAAATAAAAAGGCATGCAGTGAATTCAAACATGAACAACACTTAAAAACACCTCTGAGTCCACTTTCTGAGTCTACAGCATCCAGAGCATGAGTTTGAAAGATTTAACCAGCTACTTCTTCTGGGATAACCCATGTAATCTTCTCAAGTGGATTGTCATGTTGTGGCAGGGCAAAGCACGGGCAGCAGAGGATAGAAGGAAGGCATGCCCCCCTAAAACTCCGATCTATTTCTGTGACACACACTGTAAGCACACTGAACATGAGCCTACTAATGGAGTTAAATGCCTGCTAAGTGCATTAATTCACGGTGTTGTGTCAAAGCCCCCACCCTGGCCCTGAGAACTGACACCACACAAGTGAAACCAGTCGATCACATGGCTTTAACAGAGGCAAGCTGTGCCATGCACTTGGCAACAAAGCCACAAAGTCCTTCTCTGGCTACAATGTGAACTTTTAAGACACTTCTTTAATTCCTGCCTTTTGTTGTCTCCACTCTCACATATATCCTATTTGTCCCATGCGTTTGTCTTGATATTATTCGATTCATTTCCTCTCATACATGTGCCACGGTCATAGTAACAGCTGCCAAAGGTTGGTTGTCTTTATTAAATATGGACACAAATTGTGGTAATGCATTGGGCTCTTACAGCAATTAGATTTACCACACATCTCCACTGTCAGGCTTGAACTCTCACATTCCCTTTGTGTCTGGTAAGATGATACTTTGCCCCTCCACTGAGGTGTACAGATCACTACCGCTGCAAATGACAGCTGGGTGTCAAGCCACAAACAGTGCAGCAGCTCAACCAGAGAGATCTGGCAGGAGACAAGGCCAATTCTGTGATGGAAGGGGGGATGGGGGTCCAAGACATGCTGCATGCAAAAACAAAAATGCATCTGGTTCTGCCCAGTCGAGAGCTTGATTAAAGCACTATATGGCTCTGCAGAAAGTAAAAACATGAGTAATTCTGACACTTAACCAAAAAAACAGCAGCTGTTGCACTTGGTCAAAGGCAACCACAAACAAACAGTGGGAGAAATTAAAAGTCTGGCACACATCTGTTTTGCAGGAGTAGTTTGCCAAAGCATTAACTCTTTTTCACAAAAACAGCGAAAAAAAGTAAAGTTCAATGTACCTACGGCACCTACAGTACAATCCTACTTTCACATTCTTCAGGTAAACATAAATTCTTATCTTTATACTTCGTAAAACAGCTGTTATCAGTAGCCGGTTCATCGTCAGTTATAAAGGCATGGTCAGGCCTTGGTACCAACTATTATGAATCTCAGCTTGCTTTGAAAAACAAAAAGGAAAATGCAAATATTGATGCAACTACACCAAAGGGATGCTGCAGCTCACGTATATGTCCTCCCTGGGGAGAAAAAGCACCACACCGTATCGAGACTGGAGGGAAAAAACCTCCAGGCTGACCGCACAGTTTGGTCAACTATTGTTCAGAAACTAAGGAAATATGGAAGTTATCTGGGTCTCTCTTGAAGACACTTTAAGTCATGTCAATACAATAGCGTCAATTTCAGTTAACCTGATTTGAGCTTCTTAAGCTGCAATCAGTGTCTACACATATGCATGGCTATTCAACTTAATGCATTTCTTGTGATTACACCGGACTAAGTTATGGGTTAGCTGGCTAACATTAGCTGAGAGCCCATTCCAGGCAGATGACGTTTGCTACGATGACACCCGTTAGCTCGCTATTTCCACCTTTGAGCCCAGTAGTAAACAATATATGATGGCCCACATTCAAAGTACGTTGGGGGAAGGAAGCAGCAAGCCTTTAAAAAATAATTTCAGGTCTAACGTACCTATACACTGGCCCACGGGAGTACTGTACGGATTTCCAAGTAAGAACTCCATCTTGACAACAAACGATCCGCCCGGGAATGACAGGCTTCGGCCCAGAGGCAGTACTATCACGTCCCGCCTACCAAGGAATTCTATTGGTTCAAAAAGTTCGACACGTACAGAGGTTTTTGGACACGTGTGGCTACAATCGATGTCAGTCACAGTTTGTAACTGAAGCTATGTTCAACAAACCTTTTCTACGTGCATGCATTTTATTTATTACAGAGGGGAATAATAACTCTAAACAGCTAATAAAAAACAATGCAGATAAGGATTAAATCCTTGAAATATAAAAAATGAACGTTCATTGTTGTTGACTATAAATAGCTCATATCTTGAAAAAGCCACCTACCCCCCAAAAAAATCACAAAATGTGTGATCCCAACTAAACACAATTTCGACTTGTGGTGCTTTTATGAATATAAGACATACATGCACATTACAAGATAACCTCAGACTTAAAAGACAGAATTTATGGTTAAAGCAAAACTCTTACAGAGTCTTGTCTCAGGTTGATGCCTTTTTCAACGGGATCAAGTACTTGAATGCAGCTTAAAATGAGCCTGTTGCTATGTAACTGAGCGTAAACAAAAGGGGTAAGTAGCGGCATACTGAATTTATCGATAACACCAGCTGGTTTTCTGTATTTTTAAGCGTTTTACGGGGACAAAAACAGCAGTAGTTAGGTTTTGCTTTGGCTAAATTCATTTATTTATATCTTAGAGAGCCAATGACGGTGTTTGGCAGTATATTCAGAGCAATACCCTCAAATGTGCATACAATGATGTGAAAAAGCATTTACCCCGTTCCCGGTTTCTTAAGTTTTGTTTGTTTTTAATGACATATTTTTCTTTCCTTTCTTTTTTTTTTTTTATCAGAGTGTAAAGTGATGCCAAGTCTGTCTCCGGTCACAAAACAGCAGCATGAGCTCGGAATATATTATCTCTGAGCCCACGTCGATGGACAAAGAGATCCTGCAGCATGCTGTGCAGGAACAGTTTAAACCAGATCACATCCTGCGTTTTCCAGATGCGAGCCAAATCCACTTTAATGAAGTCGAGAAATTAAGACTGGAGTACAAAAGTAAGGGAAAATCATGAAGGTGATGAGGAATGTAGCAATGTTTAGCATGCTGATTTTGTTTGAGTGAGAGGATGCTTTTTTATACATTTTCAGACATCCTGAGGATTGATCACTTATGGGACTTCTCATCTTTGTCCAAACTTGAGTTAAATAACAATGCTATAGAGAAGATCCAGGGACTGGACCATCTGATTAATCTGACGTGGCTTAGTAAGATACAAAGTTTGTTCTTGTTGACCAAATGATGTGTAGGCACTGCCATCTTATATCAGCTCAGAATCTACTGGTAATAATTAGAGTCATTTCGAATGTGTCCCTCAGATCTGTCATTCAACAAGATTGAGAAAATAGAGGGTCTGGAGTGTGTGCAAAAGCTTGAAGTGCTGAATCTATCCAACAACAAAATCTCTGTCATTGAAAATATGGACACACTTGAGAACCTAACTCATTTCTTCATTTCAAACAACCTAATTGGACAGTTGGATAATGTAAGAAACTGTTCTGCATTTGCAATGCAAGTATGGGGAAACATTCATATGATAATGTTTAATTAACCGAATGCATTTCAAAGGTGCTCTACCTCAGGAAGTTCAAGAACCTGGCAGCGTTCAACCTGTTTGGAAATCCTTTCCTAAATGAGGGTGATTACAGATTTTTCATCGCTGCCTACTTTCCAAAGTTGATGTTCCTAGACTCCAGAATACTTGACCAGAAGACAGTAAGTGCAAACCCAATCTACATTTTGTTCTACGCTTACCTTTAAAGTAGCATTTACATACATATTTACAGAGTATGAGTATACCCAAGCCTAGGACATGTATGAGGACAGTGAGACAGTGGTGAGGTGTGCAGAAGGAGTGACAAATTAGTTCAAGATGGGGATGGGATTACACCTGAGCCCCTTTTTGTTTGCAGTGGTGATGGACAGGTTGACTACGATGTTTGCAGATGAAAATGTGATCCGTAGTGAGAGTAGTGAGCAGGTGGAAGAGAGTCTGGAGAAATGGAGGTGTGCTCTAGAGAGAAGAAGGAAGGTCAGCAGAAGCAAAACAGAGTATGTGTGTGAATGAGAGGGAGACAGATGTAACAGTAAAGCTGACTGTACCCAAGCTTGTTTGAAAGTCATCCTCATGTGCATTTATGAATTGCTGGTTGATGCAGAGTAACAAAATTTTATTTCTGTGTATGTACAGAGAAAGGAAGCAACTATCAAATATCACTATGTCCTTGAGAAAATGAGACTTGAAGAGCTGGGGCTACACCAGGCTGATGAGGCTCGACAAAGACACGAAGCTGAGCTAAAATTACACCGAGTACTATCTTTTTTTTGTGAGTCATCTGTTGATTTGTATACATACAGTCTGACACTTATGTTTTCTTTTTTGTTGTTTTTTGTGCAGGATGCCTTTGTGGAGTTCCTTAATGGCTCTTCTCTGTTTAGGACCATGTTTAAAGATGATCCAAAAGCACAAACACTGCACTGTGCACCAGGAGTGGATTCTCTGATTCAAAGATATCTTTTATCATCCTGGTTTCCTGCATGCGTGCATTGTTATTATTGTCGTAGTACAAGCTAAACCAATCATTCCTTTTGGTTCCTTGACCTTGCACTTACATTTGAGCACCAAATGGGAGAGCTGTGTACACAGTTATTTGAAAGGGGCTTGGCTGAGCACAAACGAAGGGAGACAGAGGTGAAGTCTTTCTTCAGTTGCCAAGAAAAGGCTGTGACAGACTGCCAGGAGAAGGCATCGCAGATGTTAGCAAAGTTTAATCATGAACACAAAGAGGCAAGCAGGGAGCAATCGCCTTTTCCGTGTGCACAGTGATTTACATGAATGCAATGACTCGGCATGAGATGATATCTTGTGTTTTCTCCTTTAAAGCGGACAGAAGAGTTGCAGCAGTTATCAGACCCAGAAGTACGCAAAGTCAAGATTGACCACTGCAATGATGAAATTAACCGGCTCTGTAAAAACCTCATGACACTGGAGTTTCAGCTGGTCAGCGAGATGGAGGTTAGTGTATGCTAGAGTTTGTACACTTGTATAATTTGTAAAATATCTCAATAAAATCTCATGAAATTTCTTATTTTATAAATTATGTTAAAATACTTGATATGTCATGAGACTGTATGTCTGTGTTTCACATTTAATCAAAGTGATGCTGCTTGGTCATTTTAGGAGAAGATCAAAACTTTTGAGAGCAGAATCTCAGACATGGTTAAACACTTCAGTGAAATCGCACAGGGGATATATCCTTTTTTTTTACAAGAAAATAACAGAACTGCCTCAAAAACATTCTAAAAACACTCATTACTGTATGCTAGTAATTATATAGTCATGAGCACTCCGACTCACTGGTGTCTCAACTGGATAAGCAGAAGAAAGTGGTTCGTTAACTCACCAGAGTGTCATAGCACAAATGTGGGTTTAATGGGGTTTAATCAAACAGATGTTTTCCTGTGTGAGTGATTTCTTTAACAAAACAATACGTTCTCCCACTGTCGAGATCTTGAAGATGACTATTATCAGAAGATGCAAATAGTTGCTGCTAAAATCTTGCAGACAGGGGCCAGAGACGCCCGGAAGGAGGACTTGCCAGATGATGTTATAATGGTCAGTGTCGTCCTTTATAAGCCAAACTGGTATTACAAAATATATGGTTACAAATATGTGGCTGAAAAAAAACCCTTGCAAGTTTCTGTCTCTGTTCTGGTCTTTGTTAATCTAACAGATAACTGTGCATGAATAGAGGGTGCAGATCATTGCGTGTAGTTTTCAAAGAGTGAAAAAAGAAAAAGAATCAAAGAAAATAAAAAAACCGCATTATATTTTTTTCAATTCCAGATCAAGTATAATATATTTCTTCAGGTGAGCTTAAAACATGGTGTGCTAACAGTATCACTGGCCTCATTCTGTCACTCCTATGTTTTATATTTTAGCTGTTTGAAGACAGAGATGCAGTGATAGATGCACTGGCCACAGCCCATGATAACCACCTCCTGAAGATCAATGACCGAGAGACTCAGCTGACTACAGGCATCAGTGCCTGGAAGGAGGCCCTCATTAAGGGGGTAGAGAACTGAAATTACATTAAACAAACAGTCTAATGTAAAGTCGACATATAAATCTTGTACTTACCATCATTTCTTTATATGTTGCTTCCAAGTAACCAAATCTTTTTGTATTTTTAAGTGATCTTGAGCAGTAGTTCTGTAGGATTTCCAATAGTGTTTCTTGAGAGAACAGAATCCAAAGAAGAGATTTGAATGTCCTTCAACTATTCCTGAAAACTACGACTAAGAGGGTTCAAACTGTGTTGAAGAATAAAGGTGGACATAATAAATACTGATTTTCAGGCTCTGCTTTGTTTTCCAATTGTTTTTTATGCATTTCAATAAATCACTGCATGCATTTCCCATTTTCTTAGCAAAATATAAAGAAATGAGAGGGGGACTCAAGACTTTTGCACTCTATTTTAATATTTCTTTGATCAAAGACTATTTCTTTGTTTGATGGCTTTGTTGCTTTTTACAGATACGAGATGAGGAACTGAAGCGGAACCGCATGAACATCTCAGACATCCACAGATATGTGGATAATTTGAGGGAGCAGCAGGAGGAGTTGATATAGTGAAAACCACTTGGCGGCCTCAAGAACACTTCAAAAACCACTGTCAGTTCAATTCAATTCAATTCAATTCAATTTTATTTATATAGCGCCAA